ATTTTATAAATGTGCAAACCGGAACAAGAAGCAGTGAAGTGACTTGCTCGAGGTCGCAAAGCTAGTAAGTGGTGAAAGTAAGATTCAAACCCAGGGATTCAGATTTAAGTCTCCCTCACAAAGTTTTGGAGACACTAATTCTGTCTGCGATCTGCTAAGCCAGTAGTTCCCAGCCCTGGCTGTGCATGAGAACCCTCTAAGGAATTTTGAAACCTCTTCCTGGCCAGATTTGCACCCTAGACCGATTAAACCCAGAATCTCTGGGGGTGGGACTCAGGCATAAATCATTTTTGAAAACCCCCCAGGTGATTCCAATTGTAAACCACCTGTGCCAAGCAACCCTAATTCTTTCCACCCGTTAACTTTAAAAAAACAACAACAACAACAATAACAAAAAACTAGAAACAAGTTCCATTGTGTTCCTTTCCACAAGCAGTGGTTGAGGCGGCTGCGCCTGGGGCTGTCTGCATGCTACCCTCTCCTTGAGGACCCAGCTGTCTCAGGCCATCATTTTACTATCCTGAAACAAAAAGGAAGGAGTGATTACTATGGTAGATCTAGAATGCTTAGATTTATGATACATTTTAGAAAGATTCCCCAAATGTATTAGTGTTACTTTCAAAGGAACTTTAATATTACAGCAGAATTCAAAAGACCGCACTGCCTTTGTTGCTATTAAGAAAAAAAAGACGGACACCTGGGTGGCTTAGTGGTTTAGCGTCTGCCTTCGGCTCAGGGTGTGATCCCAGGGTCCTGAGATCGAGTCCCGCATTGGGCTCCCTGCACAGAGCCTGCTTCTCCTTCTGCTTGTGTCTCTGCCTCTCTCTGTGTCTCTCATGAGTGAATAAATAAAATCTAAAGAGAGAGAGAGAGAGAGAGAGAGGGGCGCCTGGGTGGCTTAGTTGTTAAGCATTTGCCTTGGCTCAGGTCATGATCTTGGGGTCCTGGCAAGAGAACCCTGTGTGCCGGGCTTCCCGCTCAGCGGGAGTCTGCTTCTCCCTCCAGCCCCCCCCCTCCCCACCGCTCCTAAGCACTCTCTCTCTCTCCCTCAAATAAAGTCTTTTAAAAAAAGAGAAAGTGAAAAGAAACAAGGGTGAGATTCACAGATTCATATGTGGGGTGCAATCATTGATCCTGGCATTAGCACTGACAGCTTGGAAGTGCTAAGACATGGATGCTATAAAAAGGGCTGTGAAGTCACTTGAAGTCACTCCTTCATCGTCACAGGAAGGAGGTTCGCCTTCATGGTGCAGTGGACAGAGAATGGGTTTTCACAGAGAGGCAGACGTGGGTTCCTATCCCAGCTCCCCGCTTGCTAGCCGTGGCGTCCCGCCTCTAATTAAGTCTCCGTTTCTTCACCTGGCAGGACTGCTTTATTGATTAGAGATGGTGTGCTCGACGCTCCCAGCACTGTACTCGGTACAGGGCCACAATTATTACTAGGTGACAGACACCGTGTTACCTACATTTGTCCTCTCACTTAATCCTCACAACAGATCCTCTGAAAGATGCTATCATTTCCACTGAAGGGAAGTGAGCCTCTGAGCGGCTCCGCAATTTGCCCGGGTGCACAGTTGTAAGATGCCAGGTTAGGATCTGTCTCCTGCACCTGAGGCCTGTGTCTGTTTTTCCTGGCCGTGTGGCTGCCAGCCCTTGTTTCATAGGCCATCCCATGGCTGATTTATCCATTAGAACAGAAATAATGAAATAAAATAAAAAGGCAAACAGACATTTTGGGCTCTATGGATAATGAAATAAAATCAAAAGGCAAACAAAAATTTGGGGCTCTCTCTCCGGCATGTGGCAATGTTATGAAAAATGCTATTGGATCAGAAAGGGCAATTTTATTTATCCCTTTTGCTTTAGTGGAGTTCTACCTGGAGAAGGCCTAGCTAAGAAACTAAAACTGCAAAGCTCGATCTGGCAATAAGTGCCCAGACATAGCTCTCTGCTGGGTTAAAAAATCTGAGTGATCCGTTGTCTGATCATGTCAGGATCTTCTAATAGATTCCATATTCCTAAGAGAATTAATGGTGCTGGTTTCGACAGTCTTCCATGGAGGGTGGTGTGGGGAAACAATCTGAAGTGATTTAAGGAGACTTAAATATAGCTGAAATAGTTTAGGAGCTCAGTGCAAGAGAGACTGGGAAAGACAGCCCGCTGGGTGAACTATTAACAATGAAATTTCTCTCACCCTGTCATAACCTGTCTTACTGTGAACCATGTTGAATGAACCAAAACCTTAGGAATCACCATGATTCCTTCCTTCTTTTTTTTTCTTTTTATTTATGATAGTCACAGAGAGAGAGAGAGAGAGAGAGATCGGGGTAGAGACACAGGCAGAAGGAGAAGCAGGCTCCATGCACCGGGAGCCCGACGTGGGACTCGATCCCGGGTCTCCAGGATCACGACCTGGGCCAAAGGCAGGCGCTAAACCGCTGCGCCACCCAGGGATCCCTCCTTCCTTCTTTTCACTTCCTTATACACATTCCATCAACAGATCTTAATGTTTCTATTTCCAAAATAGAAACTTCTATCCATCTACCCTATTCCTTGCCACTAACATCTCTCCCCGGGGCCACTGTGGGAGCTTCCTAAATGATCTCCTGCTTGCATTCCTGCCTCCTTCCAGTCCATTCGCCTGTTAATGTTCTTTCATTTATTTACTTTTTGAAAGATTTACTTAATTGAGAGAGGGAACATATGCCCGCAAGGGAAGGAGAGACTCTTCTAGAGGACTCCCTACTGAGTGCAGAGTTGACTCTGCTCCATCTAACAACCCATGAGATCAGGACCTAAGCGAAAACCAAGAGTCTGCGACCCAACTGACCCGACTGAGCCACCCAGGAGCCCCTCATGTTAATATTCTTTTTGCAGTTATCACCATCTTATAGTGTTGATTTATTTCTTTTTGTCTGTTTTTATAGTCCATTTCCTTCCTTAGAATGCCAGCTCTATGAGGGCAGGGGCAGGTCTGTTTTACTCCTCACTGTATCCCAATCTCTGACACATTGAATCTTCTTGATAAATACACAAGGAATAAATGAAAGTGTGAGTGAATACATAACTTTAAATATTAAGTCATGTTTGTAAGTTATCTACCCAGAAAATTATTATGAGATTGGCTTCCCAGACTGGGATGGGGAAAAGGACCTTCTATATTTTGATGACTCCTGAAAAGAATATGAGAACAATATGTTGGGAACATAATAGGGAGGAGGGCTTGCAAATGCCAATGTCTAAGGGCTCAGGCAGGTAACACCAATCTGGGGCCTGCCGTGTATAAGCCACAATGAGTGGTGGGGCCATGACAACCTACAGACCCCATGACTTCAACAAATGCAGCCATATCAGCTCTAGCCAACTGTGGCTGCTTGGTAATAAGAGCCCAGGGGTGTAAGATCTACCAAGTTTTCAAAAGAAGATGGGAAGTTTGTGTATCAACTAGAATTGGGTTTGCCTGTGAGTAATGATTTGAAAACAGTAGCTTAAGTGAGGTAGAAGTCTCTCACAAAAAGGGGTCTGGGGTGTGCAATCCTGGACTCATGGAGGGTCAGTGGAATGAGGGACCTAGGCTTCTTCTAATTTATTGCTCAGTTCAACATGGCTTCCATTCTCAAGGACGCCTCATGAGCCAGTGGACTGCTGTGGCTCTTGCCATTACCTCCTCATTCCAAGAAGCAGGAAGGAAAAGGAGAAAAGAAAGGGCCTGATCATTCTTTTATAAGGAGACTTGCTGAAAGCTTCCATGCCCCACTATTACTCATTTCATTGGCCAGAACGAAATCATACAGCTACTCCTAGCTGCAAAGGAGGCTGAAAAATATAGTCTTTTTTTTTCTAAGTGGACATGGGCCCAGCTAAGGAAGAAGGGGAGAATGGATATTGGAGTTCTAAACTAGAAGTCTCTGCCAGAGCTCGCTTTTTCTGTGAAATTTTCAGGTTTTAACACCATGCCAGCCAAATGAAGCATGTCTGCCATCTGGTTCAGCAGAGGAACTGCTTGTTTTGTGACCCCTGCTTAGGGGAGCAAATATGGTTGGGAAACCTTTCTGTGGTAGGTGCGGTAGCCTGTGAGTGAGGCTGGTGAGGGTCCTAAACAGGTGAAAGTTAACAGAGTTCCAAGAGGGAGGGTGAACAGCAGTGGCCCAGGTAGCCTGGGGCAGGGGGAGCACCATGGAGGTGGCGGTAGGGTGGGGAGATACGGTCCGTGGCCTGCTACCCAAGGGGTGCTTGGAGTTCGGGTGGATGGGGGGGTCCCTGGCTGCCCCCCGCTTCCCTCACCTTGAGGTCTTAGCAGCTCTTCTGGAGAGTGCACTTTCCATCTCCTTCAAATTGTGAGGTCTCTCCTCCTGAGCTTCACCAAAGATGCCCTCATGCACTAGGTCAGGGTCACCCTTGCCGGAGGGCAAGGAAGCCTGGGCCTGACCCAAACTCCCCAAGCTCACCAGCTGGGCAGTCACTGCTGTCACTTTCTCAGCCACCTCTCGGATGTGATGATTCCCCTTGAAATGGCTCAGTCTCCCCGCCACGTTAGACCTTTGCGCCAGGAAAGGCACCACATATACTGGAAAAATCACTGGATTTGCAAGCAGACTTCCCTCCCTTGAATCCCTGCTCCGTTGCTTGCTAGTTAAGTGACTACAAATACTTTTGTAACCGACAATTGGAGCATGGTGTTCTCCTTACCTACTTCATAAGGTTTTTTGAAGAGGTCACTTCTATAAAAGACCTTTGTATTAAGAAAAAACTAGGGACACCTGGGTGGCTCAATGGTTGAGCTTCTGCCTTCAGCTCAGGGAGTGATCCCGGGGGTCCGGGGATCAAGTCCCATATCAGGCTCCCTGCCGGGAGCTTGCTTCTCCCTCTGCCTGTGTCCCTGCTCTCTCTGTGTGTCTCTCATGAATAAATAAATAAAATCTTAAAAAGAAGAAAAAACTAAATAGTTCTAAATAGAAATTTAAGTTTCCAGTAAAGATTCATATTGGCCATATGTTTGAAATTGATGACTTTATTGACACAAACTTTGCAATAGAAAGTGTTAATAGGATAGTAAGAATCAGTTCTTGTATCATACACACAGGAAAAAATTGCCAGATGAGTTTCCAGTAACATGGTTTAATTTCTGATCACTGTCTTTGTGAAATCCAAATTGTTCCAGGGAGGGGCAGATCATATATGTCCTTTATTCCCTTCTCCCCCAGGAGGGAGACCTGGTTTCTATATAAAACAGAGACGCCCTTTCAAGTTAATAAATCCCAAACAACTTGCAGCAGTGAAGTGATGCGAAAAGACAAGGATGTAAAGAGAAACTGGTGTCGTCCATAACTGACAGAACGTGAAGGGGGAAGGAACACCCCACACAGAAACACGACACATGTGCCCTGGGAGAATGAGCCCTTGAGCTTGCAGGATCATTGCCAACCTTTGGCAGCGGAAGGCTCAGCTGAGTAATGCCGGGGGGCCATGGGAGTCACAGGTTTGGCTTTTATTTTCTTATTACTTTTTAATTTTCAGAACATGAAGTTCCCTAAAAGCCCTTTCTCAAAGTACCACAAAATGATAGAAGTTTGGGAAAACTAGTTTTGTGTAGGGTAAAGGCTTGGGCCGTGATTAGGAGAACACCCAGATCCAGAGTGTAAGAGAGAAACCTATTCTGAATGTCAAAGTGAGTTCTGCTGCAGAGCAGTTCACTACACACACCCTACACCTTAGGGTCAAGGTTCATCCCCTAGTTATTAAATCCGCTGTTACATTCAGGATGACTGGCCAGACTCCAAATCTCTTAGCATCTGCAAGGTGCCCGGTGCAGGGTTGGTACTTAGTGTTTAATGGATAAATACACACTGTACCGAAGGGAGGGAGGGAGGGAGGAAGCAGAAGCAGTACTTGTCTGTGTTTCAGTAATAACAAAATTGGCAGGTAACGAGGCCAAGTTTCTAAATTTTAACCAACACATGTCAATTCTCTAGGCCACATTATGTAAACACACACCACCAGTCTGCCTATTTCTGCTAACTATGGAGTTTATTGGTATTGTTTGGTACAACTTTAGTCCTACCTTTCCCAATCCAGGTGTGTTAACAGTCTTTTAAAAATCATGCTACGTTACTTTGGAGGAAGATACTTCCCCTTTAACGTGTTTAAAGAAATGTTAGATGATTTTAATCTATCAAGACATTTTTCACTGCCTCTGATTTCTGACCCAGTGTGCATCAGTCTAACGTCAATGTTAACACAAGGTTAACGATGCACACCAACCAGGTACGGGCTTTCTAAAGTGACTCCTTCACGGGTAGCACATGACATAGTCCTGGCGCCGAGGACAAGACGCCACGGGGAAGCCGTATGTGCTGCTGGTACGTGTGCTAGGTTATCTCCCTCTGGTGAGCTGTGTCCACGCAAATGACCCAACTGGAGAAAACAAACACTCAAGAGTGCAGGCAAGGAGAGCTGGGAAGCTCTGAAAATGTGGTGTCTGGCTGAGCCCCGGGAAGCATCCTAGGTTGGATGCATAGACCACAGTGACCGTGACATTGCGGTGTGGAGGCTGACATGGACACCAGGATGGGGTGCATGGAAGGCAGTTGAGAAATGGGTGTGACTGCCTCACGGAGACCTCCCAACACATGCTGTGGGTGTTGATGGAGTGAGTTTGTGTGAAACTGGATCTGAATCTCGTACTGAGCTAAGGAAACATGTATAGCAGGAAATTTTCCTGTTTCTCAATTTCTCCTTTATCTGGATTTACCGTTGGGTAAAAGACAACTTTTAGGTGAACACGGTAAGCTTTCTGATGGTGGTATTCAGCAAGAGAGAACGAAAGAACAAGCTGACTGGAAAAGCGCACGCTACCATGGCCAGGGGAGCCTAGAATCCATGTGAGCATCTTTCCCCCAGGGAATGTACTCCTACTTCTGTTTCATAGACCCACCTGTGGCTTTTGCTCACTGCTTTCACATCAGACCACAGTGCAGGAGTTGCAAAGAGGCAAACTAATTGCACATTTGCAGCTTATTACCATACACAAGTACTGCGCCAAAATGTTTACGTGGTAATTGGAGGCTGAGAATGTCCCCAAAGCCCAGGCAGCCACTGGCCTGCTGGGGAAGGCAGTCTCTCAAGGCAGCAGCATTATTCATCTTCTGCGAGGGTCACACTCTTCTTCAAGACTCTTTCATGGGGTCCAGGATGTGGAGGGCACCAAAGGAGTCCATCTGCCCTTCTAGTAGCACACTCTGCTAGTTAACACAGTTCTTCGCCATCCTTCGATTTCTGTCCACCTGTCGGATACTTTCTGTCACGTTAATGGTAACTTCTTTTGCAGACATTCGCTTAGCATCTCTTTTAGCCTGTTAAAAAGTTTAACATCATGAATTGAGTTAGAAGAAAATATCCAAATTTGCATTCATCCCTTGAGATTGTTACACACACACACAGGCAGGAAGAATAACCCACAAGAATACACACACATACACTCCTTTTCAAACTCCTCATTTCTCTGTTGAAACTCTAATCCTGACCTAGCACAGAGCCTGGCATAAGGCGTACTCAGTAAGACACCATTGAATGAATGCATTAATTGGCTAAGGTCCATCAAAAGGTAGTGTGGAAGCTTTCACAGTTAGCTTTAGTAAAGCAATGAAGGAGTAGGGCTTTGGAACTGGATAGACTCTGTGTTTTTTTATTTTTTAAAGATTTTATTTATTTATTCACGAGAGAGAGAGAGAGGCAGAGGGAGAAGCAGGCTCCATGCAGGGAGCCTGACAAGGGACTCGATCCTGGGACTCCAGGATCACGCCCTGCCCCGAAGGCAGGCGCTAAACCGCTGAGCCATCCAGGGATCCCCAGACTCTGTGGTTTAAATACTGACTAGATAATTTCACCACGAGCAAGTTTTTCCCAAGCTAACCCTCAGTCTTCTCCTCTGTAAGGCAGGGAATAATAACAGTACCTACCTCACAAGATTATTATAAAGATTAAATAAAGTCTTGCATTAAGGTACTCAACATAATGCCTGTCACAAAAAAAGGACCAAAAACAGATTTAGTAAATATAATAAGTAGAAAGATAGCTTATCTACTTCTATGTGACGATAAATCAAAAATAAAAGTCCAGAATCCATATTAAATACTAAAGCATTAACTAAACTGTAGGCTCTCCAACCCCTCAAGAGTAAACTTTGACTAGTGGGGAGTGATTTTGTGCCCATTCTGCTCAACGATATACTTGGAGTGAGCACGAGAGGGGTCTTGGGAGTCGTCTCCATAGTGGATAGACAGACATATGTTGTCCCATCCTCAGTCCAGAAAGACCTGCTGCCTTGCTTCTAGAAGTGCAGTCAGTGAATGACTTCCACATGTCCCACTGGGGTGCGCAGCTGCAGAAAGCCACCTCACCCCGGGTCACGCCCTTGCCACGGTGGCCCAATGTGGGGAATACAAAGGCCTGGCCATTTTGGCACAAAGCTCTGACATACCACTAGGCTCCAGAGCTCCCCATGGGGTGGGGTAAGCTGCAGCTGCTTGCACCTGGCTCACCTGCTCCTTTTGCCCACTCCTGCTTCTACGCCTCTCTCCACAGAGGTTGATGCCCAATGAACATCCTATATAATGACATCTTGAGGTCTGCTTCCTGGAAAACACAGTCAGCCTCAGATCTGAGGGAGCATCTCCCAGGGCATGAGCACCTCCCCATGCTGGGTGTGAGTGTTGATAGATGCATGTTTTTCATATAACATGACCCCTGAATACAAGCCAATTACTTTCTCTGTAGTGCATCCAAAAAAATGATGGGCTGTTGCATCCCTGGAGAAAAATACATGGGCCTGTTTTATTTACTAGCAAATGCTATGTAGTTTGTAACCTGTCACATAAATCCTGTGCAGCAGCTGCTGGTGATGCTCCTTCTAAATTCTCTTTCCGTGCCTGGTGCATCTAATCCCCCAATGGCTGTGAGTTCCAGCAGCTTACTGCTCAGAGCAGCACCCATGTTTTGAGAATTGCCCTCATCTAATTGGAGTCACCTTGCTCAGAAATGCTACAGAGGTCACACACTAATTCCTGGAGACAGCGCAAAGCCAGTATCTGATTGTTAGTGATACAAAATGCTGGCCATTTTGCCTCAAGGAGATATAAATCTAGGACACCTCCATGCTCCAGAGCCTCCATGGGACCAAGCTCCCTGCGGGATTCAGTAGAGCTCACGTATTTGCTGGACTGGGTCCCCTTCCCATCCTGCTTCCCTTACCACCATATGGGCTTCACCTGAGATGACTCTTTCAATCAACTGCTTGCACAAGAATCCTCATCTTGGGCTCTGCTTCCAGGAAAACTGACCTAAGAATACTTTATGGGTGATCTGACGATTGTTTAAGGGATAATTCTGACTACATGCAATTTTAGTCCTAACCGCTGAGGTCATGAGCTAGGACATCATTGCTCCCCTCATGTTCTCAGTGCCTGGCACCATCTGAAACAGCAGGCTCCTAATTTCAGTTTGGCTGAATTAGTGGATGAATGAATAAATGAACACACTACGCTTGTCAACGCATCCTTGTTTGAACAACCAGAAGTCAATGCCGTTTAAGGATTCAGGCTTACACTCTGCTCTTCCAAGCCTGAACTGGCAGCAGAGCAAGCAGTGACTTTGATGGGTTTATTTTTCCCTAAAAGCAGAGAACTCCTAAAGTCCCACAACCAATTGCACTAAAAAAAAAAAAAAAAAAAAAGTGTGTCAATTACTAGGCCAATTCCACCTGATTTGCATTTTGGGTGTTACTGCATACAAGCCTTGAGGACGAGGCATGGGATAGAGACACAGGGGCTTTATTTAAAATGAGCCAAGTTGACAGCAGCATTCCGCTTGAACAGTGGGCAGTAAGAGAGCTTTCCAGACTAGAAATGTAAACTTTCCAAATGGTATAACTGCTTTTCTCTAGAGATACTGTCAAGATTTCAGAAAAGGTTATTAAAGATTACCACAGAAAATGCTCTGCTCTATGTGTTAGTCTGCTTTTCTAAGCTTAAAAATATAAGCAAAAATTCAATAGCTGGATGATTCTTAATTTCCTTATCTAAGAGTCCAAAGCCACAAAATAGTCATTCCCAGAACAGCTACAGAATATGTATAGTTTTAATCTCAAGCACAATGGGGTGATTTCTTTTTTTTTTTTCCTTTTTGCAATTTCTTAAATTTGTATATCCGAAGCCCACCTAGTGACAGTGTTCAGAGCACAAGCTTTGGAGCCTGACAGACCTGGACATAGGACAAGGCTTTGTTACCAGTTAGCTGCCACAAACTGTGTTACTTTACCCTCTGGATCTCAGTTCCCTTACCTGAAAAATGAAATAATGCCTGATTCTTTGTGGGGCTTTTTGAGAGAATTAAGCATGTCACTCAGTATTAATAGGGTGACCAACTTTTCCCAGTTGGCCGAAGATTGGCCTATTTTATTATTTTTATTATTTTTTTAAAGATTTTATTTGTTTATTTGAGATAGGGTGAGACACACACACACACAGAGAGAGAGAGAGAGAGAGAGAGAGAGAACAAGAGCCAGAGGGAGAGGGAGAGCCCAACTTGGGGCTCAATCTCAGGACTTTGGGATCATGACCTGAGCTGAAGGCAGATACTTAATGGACTGAACCACCCAGATGCCCCAGTTGGCTTCAGTTTTAAAACTGAAGTCCTCCATTCTGGAAACCTGCTCAGGCCCCTGCAAACCAAGACAGTCAGCCCACAGAGCTAACATTAATTCTATTTGCAAAATGATGAGGTCAAACGTACTAAATTTGAACAGAAAACCTTCTTATTCTACTGGAACTATGGCTCTTGATCCTGCTACTTCTAAACAACACCGACAGTAATCCTGCGAGTTATGCATTTGGCTAAAGGACAACTATGGTGTTGTACTCCAGTGATGGGTACAGGTTCTAAGCCATAAACAAGTCCACCTTCAAACAATCACACGATATTAACTCTATCAAGTTAAACAATTAGACCAAGGTATTCTCTTGGAAGTATTTTATAAAAAGAGAAGCTTTAGTGTCTGAGACACCAGCAGAAAGGCATTGCCTCTTGTACAGCAGCGCGGACATTCAGGAGGTCTGTTTTGACTAGAATCTACTTACAACTTGGAAATCTCAGACTTCAAGCCCAAATGAGAGGGAGAGAGAAGATGAGAAAGAGAATGACAATGCCAGGCTCTTTTCTCTAAAGCCCTGAGAAGTTGCTTTGCTCTCCTCCAAGAGAAGAGCTATCCAGATACATGGAACAATTATCCCATTTTGTTCTTCAGATACTGTGTATAACAGGTATTTTCCCCACTGATGTGGCTCTTAACCAGCCAATCCTTTTTTTTTTCTTAAGATTTTATTTATTCATGAGAGACACAGAGAGAGAGAGAGAAAGAGAGAGAGGGAGAGGCAGACACATAGGCAGAGGGAGAAGCAGGCTCCATGCAGGGAGCCCAATGCTGGACTCGAACCCGGGACTGCGGGATCACACCCTGGGCTGAAGGCAGATGCTCAACCGCTGAGCCACCCAGGCACCCCAACCAATCCTTTTTATTTAATATCCCATTCCCTTGATTTAACTATAGGCAAAGAAAATCTGTCCCAATTGCAATTACTGGCTTAAAAACAAAACAAAACAAAACAAATCTGGTCCCAAGTCAGTGATGAGAGAAACCTATTTGGCATCTTTTTCTTTTGTGGCTCTCTGCTAATTCAATCCTTCCCCTAGTTCTAAAATTCTTGTTTTGTGAGTTTTATCACCACTGACTCTTGTTAATGGGCCACCTCTAGTTTCGCACTCAGCTTTACAGCTTTTCTCTTCTTCCCTCTGCCTCATTTTAATTTCTGCAGGTTTAGAACTCTGTGAATCACGGACTTTAGTTCTCTTGACCCTGCCTCTTTAATTAAAAGTAATTTATTGGCTGCCACTTCTCAAGAGTCACCAGATTGACTGTGATCACTTCCTGGCATCTTCAAACCCAGATGGACTTAATCTCTTGGGGTTTAGAAGTCAACAACTGGCCTATTCCCCAGTGGAAATGGGGGCAGCGTGGCTGCTCCGCGAAGGCCTGGGGTCAAGGCTGCAGCTCAGTCTGCTCAACCCTTTCTCACTTTCCCCTCAAATGGGAATATAGATGTTCCCAATTTTATTTTGACTCCAGAAGTATATCTATACCTGACATGGGATCACCTGAACCTTTTTACAGTTCCTCACACACAAGGAAGAAAGGCAAGGCTTACTAAGATTATGATTTTTTTAAAAAGATTTTATTTATTTGAGAGAGAGTGAGCGAGAGTGAGCGAGTGCACACAAGTGGGGGAGGGGCAGAGGGAGA